TAACTAAAAAGAAAATTATTAAAAAGAAAAAATAAAGTATAATAAAGAACTTCTTACTAGAAGAAAGATCAGAGAACTTAGAAACAACTGTATTAGCTAATACTATACCTAACAAAGAAGTAAAACAAGAAGAATTCTCTCCAATAATTATTATAAACAATGATAATCTTGAGCTACAAGAACTAGATCATATATAGAGATAAGCTACTATACAGAATTTGTGAAAGACTATGTAATGTAATTTTTATAACTTAAACTAGCTAGCATAATTTTGACTAGCTTGTATAATGTGAACTTGATATTTTTTTATATTTATATACAAAATCTAAAAAAGACTACAAGAAATAAATATAATTTTGAATATAAATAATTTTACTAGTATTTTTATGATAAGATATCTTAAAATATTTCTATATACCTAGCTACAATATTGGATAGTGACTTTAAATTACAAATATGACCTTTATAACCTATATGACTATTTGGTCATATAAAAAATAAATATAACTTATAATCTTTAATATAATAAATTTATAAATATATAATTAATTGATAAGATCTATAAATATTTATAGTTATTTTTTATTTTATTTTAATTGTATTATAGTATTTTTAATAGAAATACCTATTTTTTTACTATAAAAATTTGCTATTTCTACTATATAAATAGAATAAAAATTAGTTTAGAATATTTAATTTTAATAATTTGTTATATAATTAATTATAGTAAAAATAGCAAATTACTATAGTAGAAATAGATATTCCTTTTTTAATATTACTAATTATAATTTTTATTTCAGATTTATTTATTTTTTTTTTACTTATATTTTATATTTGCTCTTCTATGATTATATGCAATTATTAATGATAGTTTAAGAATTATATAATTTAATTAGATGTAAGTATAAGATAAATAGAGGTATTATAAATAGGAAAATATTGTAATCACTTGAAGTATCTTATAATCTATTAATTCAAAACAAATAATTTTTATACTATTAGATTTGTCTTCATAAAACAATTTAAATAGTATAAAAATTACTTAATTTGGATTGCTATATTATAAAATATTAATATTTGAATATTTTAGCTTCATTTTTTTAAATTTTAAATTTATAAAATATTAAATATTAATATCTCATAACACAATTATCTAAATCAAATAATTTTTATACTATTCAAATTATCTTACTAAGATGAATTGAATAGTATAAAAACTATTTGATTAAATTAATATATCAAAAGATTATAACCAATTGTCTATAATATCTCTCTATAGCTACTTTATCTACTTTCATTTATAAAATATTTGAATCTAATTATCTTATAATTTTACAATTAAAATCAAATGAACTTGGTACTATTTAATTCATTTTAATAAAATAATTCTAATAGTATCACTGGTTGAAAAAGTAAAATTCAACCTCTAATCAAAGGTTGAATTTCAAATTTTTGGTTGAATTCAGGTCAAATTAGCCAAAAAAATTTGATCTATAATCAACCTATAATCAATCTATAATTGACCTAAAAACTACTAATTAGCTTAAAATCAGCATCTGATTTTAGGTTGAATAGTTAATTTTAAAATTCAACC